TGTGTGTGTGTGTGTGTGTGTGTGTATTAACGTTAAATCACGGTGCGATAACTAACGTAAACAATCAAATAATTAATATATATTAATATATTTATATATAACTTAAAATATATAATTTATAATATATAATTTATATATAAATTATATATTATAAATTATATATAAATATATTAATATATATAAATATATTAATATAAATTAATTATTTTATTGTTTACATTAGTTATTGCACCGTGATTTAACGTTAATACACACACACACACACACACACACACACATATAAAATAGTTTATAAAAATAGTTTATAAAGTTGGTTTATAAGCATCCATCAGGTATTTTAAAATGTACATATAGTATTCATTTTGATTTTTATGCAATTAAAAAAAACATTTGCACTGTTTTTTTCAAAAGATTAGACTGCATGTACCCGAAAATGTCAAATGGTGTAACTGACAAAAAAAGTGAAATATTAAATAATTTCCTCCTCCTAGATGATATGCTAGTGTAAACACTAAAATAAATACTTCATAAATACCACAATAACATTTATTTTAGAACAACTGTGCCATGTTTACCTTTATTTACTATTAAATATGTCTGATATAAAATTATGCCAAACTAGCTGATATAATGTTCCATTGAGACTTTCACAAACATTAAACAAGAGAATTTTTTTTGGTTGCACCACATTAACTTTGTTGCAATAATCCCCTAAAATGATCTTAAAACAGATATAAAAATAGACTTGGTCCTTAAAATAGAGAATATATGCAAGTAATTTTCTTACTTATTTTGAAACTTTAACCTTCTTAAATTAATTTAAATGACATGAACACAAAAAATGTCATGTCATTGACCCATATATTAATTTATGTAACTAAAATGTAAATTTGCCACTAATGACTTCAACATCAAATGTAATACATCTGTAATTACCATAATAGTAGCATACTAAATCACTAAAGCAATAATCCTAACTAGGTCATTAGAAGCTTCGCAAAACACTCACAACTCAATTAGTATTCAGAGCACAAACACAATTTGGCCATTTAATTTGACCACAAATCTTACTCTCATTTGCAGAGTTTAGCTTGTACTGTTGTACTGTTAGCCTCATATGTTTTAGATTAGTCAAGAACGCGACCACACCAGAATCCTGATGCAGATTGTGTGTTTATTTGACCTTTGCATGAAGCTTCGTGTTTCCACTTTCGCCCTTAGTGTCAGATTGGTGTCCAGAAACCCGAGCGCTCACTTCCACGTCGCTTTCTGTGTCACAATGTTGAAATATGACCCGCGAGAGACTCCTAACAATGCACATATGTTGTATGTTTAGCGGTGATATGCTCTGTTTAAATATGTAATCCTAAACCTTTTGTAAATATTATTGTTATTACTCCCTATTATTATTACTTCTCTGATGACAAACTCTGACGCTCAGCTGTGATGTTACTACAATATCCTGCACCGCTACTTTTTTGAAAATGAGATTCAGACAACAAATGAAAGCTATAATTATATAATCTCTTCATTGATGTACACTGAAAAAAAGAAAGATTCATTGCATTTTATGAATGTTTTTTAAGGCAAGTGGTTGCAAACAATTCATATGGGGTGAATTTAACTAAAGAAATTAAGTTGAACATTACTCAATTTAGATAGTTTAACTTCAGCCCATATAAATAAATTAAAATAAATTTAGTTAATCCAATGAATCTTTTTTTAGTGCATGATTTAATACAAGTGTAGATCTCCTGTTCCTGCTAATTTCAGTTGCAACCCATATCAAACACACCTTCCTTTAATTATCAAGTGCTGTTCAAGTCCTAATGAATTGGTTCATGTGTGTTTGAACTGAACTCTGTATGAAGGTAGATCTCCAGGAACAGGGTTGAGCACCCCTGGTTTAATAGGATAGTACAATATTAGGCCAAGATACAACTGTTTGAACAGATTCAACATATTATCATCTTTAGAGTTGAGCAAATTTAGGTTCTTGGCCATCTGTAGTACAAATCAAAATATAAGTTTTAATCTATTTATGGTACAAAATGTCTTAATGCAACATGCTTTTTACTGAATATTCTAATAGATTTTGGTATGAATAATTAATTTAGACTCATACAGTGTATTATTTTTGCCTTTATATATCTAGTGGTCTGCACAAGGGATGTCCTGATCTGATATTGATATCGGAAATAGGTCCGATATCATTCCAAAAAACAAACTAAAATCTATATATTAATTATTTATATGTATATGTAATAGTACAATGATCACAGTGCAGCTTAATTAATTAAAAGTAAATACTAATGAATTGTCATTTTAAATCTGTATACTTTGCTAATATCATTCAATGCTAGGTTTTTGTCTGTAAGAAGGTTTAAAATAATTTAGTATGATCAAAACGTCTGCTATCCTGAATGCTGTTTCACATTATTTCACCCTTATTTTGCCATTTTTACTTTCACACAAGTTAAAAAAATAATTAACCAGAAATAAGCTAAAACTGAAGCTAAATGGAGAAATAGTGAAATTAAAAAACTATATATGCTAAATTAAAACAATATTCCTCAGTAATTTCTCCAAGGATGGTTTGTTTCGTGGGAAAGCGTGTACAACTCTAAGACGAGACCGTGATCGTCATTTGCCTGTCAAATAGAGTTTCCATTGCTGTGTTGTTGTGTGTTACTGA